GACTCCCACTACAGCCACCCCGACAACCCCAACTGGCGTACCACTCACGAAGCTGCTGGGGCATGAGGGACACACGCGGACGGCCCTGGAGCTGCATCTGGCCATGCCAGGAGCGCAGTAGAAGCAGTAGCAGCAGGAGCAGCAGTAGCAGTAGCAGCAGCAGTAACAGTAGTAGCAGTACGGGTAGGGACGTGCTCACCAGTGGTGGGAAGGGCAGGCGCACGACGGAGGCGACTGCGGGGCCGCTACAGCGGCAGGGCGGGGCCGCGACCGCGGCAGGGAGCTCCGCGGCAGTTGCTGTAGGGCGGGACCGGGCCGCGACGGCAGCTGCTGCAGGGGCGGCTGCTCCAGGGGCCAGGGGCGGCTGCTGCAGTGGCGGCTGCTCTAGGGGCGGCTGCTCCAGGGGCGGGTGCTCCTGGGGCGGCTGCTCCAGGGGCCAGAGGCGGCTCCTGCAGTGGCGGCTGCTCTAGTGGCCAGATGGCGGCTGCTGCAGGGGCGGCCGCTCCAGGGGTCAGGGGCGGCTGCAGGTGCGGCTGCTCCAGGGGCCAGGGGCGGCTGCTCCAGGGGCCAGGGGCGGCTGCTGCAGGGACGGCTGCTCCAGGGACCAGGCGCGGGGTAGGGGCGAAGCGGCGGGCAGGGCGGGCGCGGGGTACTGCAGGGCGACTCGGCGGGCAGGGGCGACGTCGCGCGGGCCCCGCAAGGGCGTCGCGACGAGCGGGGGCGACGCCCGGGTCCCGCTGGGGCGGCGCGACGCGCAGGAGCCGCGCCTCGCGGGTCCCGCAGGGGCGTCGCGAAGAGGCAGGGGCGACGCGCGGGTCCCGCAGGGGCGTCGCGACGATGCGGGGGGGGACGTGCGGGTACCGCAAGGGCGTCGCGAAGAGGCAGGGGGCGACGCGCGGGGCCCGCAAAGGCGTCGCGAAGAGGTAGGGGCGACGCGCGGGTCCCGGCGGGCTGCAGCCGCCGGCGTGCAGCAGCCGCGGCGCGCGGGGTACAGCCTGCGCGCGAGCGTCGGCCTACGGGCGGCAGCGGCCTTCGGGCGACGTACGGGCGGCCTACGGGCTGCGTAAGGGCGGCCTACGGGCAGCGTACGGGCGGCCAGCAGCCTACGGGTGGCGGCCTACGTGCAAGCAGGTCGCGGGCGGCTCGAGGGGCCGCGTGAGGCCGGTACGAACTGCGTGGGCGGCTAGCAGGCTGCGCGCGGGCGTCGATCAGGCGGCGCGCTGATGGCTAGCGGGCCACACGCGCACGGGCAGAGGACGGCGCGCGGGCAGAATGAAGGGCGGGGCGCTCGAGGGCGCACTAGCAGAAAGAAGGCGCACGAGGGCGCACGAGCAGAGAAAGGCGCACGAGGGCGCACGTAAGGTAGGGCGCACGAGGGCGCTTCTGGCGGAATAGTGGGCCCGTAGTAGTAAGCGGTCCTAGGTGGCTAACCTAGGCTCGTGATACCATGTCAGAATGAACAAGAGTGATTGAACTAGGAAAGAGTTGGGTACAAGTAGGAAACCCTAAACTTACTGTACCCCATAGTAACTACCCCACTACAGCCTAAACAAACTGTAGCAGATATAACATTTAACCGTTTTTTCGGGAGTGCTCCACTGTTTCGACCCTATAGCTCAGATCGTACATTTTTTATTTTTCTAGTAATTCAATATGCAAGGTCCAATAGCACCGTAAAAGTCACACGTGATGTTTTTCGTCAGCTGCTTCTTCGCATCGAATTTTGTTGATGTCCATCGGGTCGGCAGTCGTGGGGGGTGCCCATCGCTCCGCGCCGAAATTCCTGTTCGCCTGGTTGCGTCGTGTTCCGTGTGAGCCAGTGAACATGTCGAACCACTCCGTCGCGCTGACCACGCCCTTGTTTTCGTATTTCGCTGCCACAACCTGTCGCAACGTAGCTCTGTATTTTTTTTTGCCTTGGGTTGGGTGAGGGATTTGATTATAAAAGGTTTCCATTTGTTGCGTGTACTGCATCACACTCGAAAATTGACGGTGTCGATGGATATTTTCGCGCGCCATATAGAAATATGGCTCTAAATGCGATGATACTAGCGTCCGTAACTACCTCGAGCGTGCGGCATGGGTTGGTAATGCGTCAAATGGGCGGTGAGCACAATACGTTTCTTAAGGCAGAGAAGGCAGCTTACTCTTTCTACCCCAAATTTTAAACGACCGTAGTCCTCAACCGATATGTCATCGGGGTAGTTAATATGGCCATGTCGGGGATAAACCGACTCACATAGTTAACAAACCCTAAAATAATTTGCAGCTCTGTGATGTTCGTTCGCGGATGCCATGCCTTCGCAATAACCACTGTTCTTCATGTCAATTTTGACTCCAGTCTCGAAAATAACATGACCTAAAAACTCCAAGCGACTCTAAAAAACTCACACGTGGAACCATTCGTCATCAAGCGATGCTCGTCTAAAATTTAAACTCTACTTCTAAGTCGACTAATTGCTACTCCTTTTCACGGTTGTAAATGAAGATGCTGTCTAGGTAAAAAAGCACGCACTTACAGTGAAAGGAATGTTTTGTTCATGGTCATTCGAAAAGTGGTAGGTGAGTTGGTCAGTTTGAAAGGCATCACTGTGTATTTGAATCATTTGTACCTTGTTCTAAACCTGTCTTGGCGCAATCTGCCGTTCGACTCGAATCTGGTGGTAACCTCCTCGTAGGTCAGGTTTCCAATAGATGCAGGGGGTGTGTAACTAGTCGATCAATTTGTTGGCACGGGGGATGGGATATGGCGATTTAATTTATAACCATGTTCAGTGCGCGGTAGTCAATGCACATGCAAAAATCCCCGTCCTTCTTTGGTGCTAATAGTATTGGTGTGGCGAACGGTGATGATCTCGGTCGAATGCTTTTTTTTTTCTCGAGCAAGTAATCTAACTGCTTCCTGAGTTCCTCCAGCTTTGGCTGTGTCTGTAGGAACTAGTACTATAAGGTTGTTTGCACCTCCGGTTCTAACACTATGTTATGATCATGCAGTCATTGAGGTGGCAGTCCCTCGGGTAGATCCTGTAAGAAAATCAGTGGGCATCGTTGCATTATGTTTCAAAGTTTGGGCAGTACAACTGCTAGAAATTTCTAAATATCGCTCGACTCCTCTGCTTCTACTATCTCCCGGATGTCGATAACGTACACGTCAATTCTTGATGTGACAACCCATTTTATCGTTATGGCATTGATAAGGACCGTTGAAGGCGCAGGCGGCTGCTAGCAAGATAGCGAGACCCAATTACTGTCAAGATACTAGCACAAATGGTAGTTAGGTTTAGGGCCTAGGCTTAGTAGCCTAGGCCAAGGGGGGAGTCGAGAGAGTTGTGACAAGGAGAAGTTGAGAATAGGAATGATGCAATATGAGAAACAAGTACAAGTTATAGTTCAGGAAGGGTGCACCACCAAGCAAGAACAAATGTATGACTACACTACAGCTAGAACTACATGCAGTTATATATAATTCTGACAATTACACCCATTTCTCACAGTGCAGCTACATGTCGTCCAGTCAATATGCGGGTTGTAGCGTTGCAACCAATCACACCACAGTAAAATATCGGTATGTCTAATGTTGTTGCCAGCTTTTCATGTAAGTCCAATTCTACTCCCGCAGCAAATCTTAACCCTGTCCAATTGTTTCCGTATAGCTGGTGCTGTGTCGTCGACTAACCGTGCGTCGATCTCAAGTAAGCATCGGCAAAATTTCAGTTGCAGCTTCATTGAAGTTGCTAGACTGTGACTAGCCCTTCCGTCAATGAAAACCTTCACTACCGGCCCCTGTATTTTTCAATATCAGTACTGGGCAATCCGCTGCTATACCCTCCATATTCAGCCGAGCCCGATCATTTGCGTGAATAGGAACTGTCACTCAATGAGGTTCAGTGGGTTCGGGCAAGCAGTGAGTCTTGCCAGTAGTGAGCCCGTTCTTTACTGACTGCTGGCGTTTTCCTGCCTCATAGACTCCTTTCCCTGCTCTGCTCCCCAACGTTTCTACTCCTCGGGACACTCATTCTCGCAATGGCCCGGCCTATAACACGCAAAGCAGCGCCCTCGAAATGGCGTGACAACTGCGTTTGCCGCAACGACGTGTACAGTGGCATGCTCGGTCATTCCCTGAGTACGTTGTTTGTGTGCGTTTCTCGTGCATGTAGCTAACCTGTTCACACAACCCGTGAAATCTGCTAGCGTAGTCTTGAACCAACCCGAATTGTCGCCAAGTGCGCAGCTAGTGACATGCAGAAATCGAAGTCGCGATTGGCTGGAAATGCGCCCATAGCCCTGTGCACCACGCATCCCACATGCGGTATTAAGCGACTTCGTAGAATGATAAACTCCATGAATCAGCTGGCCTGGAAGGCCCTTCCCCTTGCAGTAGTGGCTTGTAGTCGCTTGGCGAGGTAACGATAACTCGCCATCAGTCCATGGCGGGCCCTCAAAGCAGAGATATGGCGTATCGGATTTTCGCAGCGTCCGACGTCACATAGTTTGAATACCCACGATTTGACCGTCAGACCTCCCCGTTGACTTGGGTCGAAACAGGGCGGGCGTTGCAGTTTGAAAGGCATCAGCTACGAGACATCGTTATTGTTGTATTCAGCCGCAATGCTGACGCAACGACAGTCGTCACATGTCATATCCGCGCCCAAAGCTTCCTTGGTACGCTCCATGCCTTGCATTCGTTGTGCACGGTCCGAAAGAAACGTGGCTGTAGATTCGAAGCGTAATGAGTGTATCCGAGAGAGCGAGCAAGGATTGCACTTTTAAAGGAGATCAATACGATGAGCGAAGGCATGAGCAAATTGTTAAATAGCAAAGCAAGATGGTGATGATAACAGATGATCGAAGGGGCGCTCTACAGGCCTAGCGCCGAGGTTGGGAATTGTCGAGGCGTAGAGTCGGATTGCGGATTACAATAGTTCGGTTTCAATGTCTCTCTAGTAGTAACAAACACGAAGGATATTACTACTACTACATCCCTGCAATCACTAGGCCTCCTAGCTCTCCTCCTCCTCGTCGTCCTCGTCCTCGTCCTCCTCGTCCTCGTCGTCCTCGTCGTCCTCGTCGTTGTCGTCGTCGTCGTCGTCCTCCTCCTCCTCCTCCTCCTCCTCCTCCTCCTCCTCCTCCTCCTCCTCCTCCTCCTCCTCCTCCTCCTCCTCCTCCTCCTCCCCTTCTTTCTCCTACTGCTCCTGCTGCTCCCACTCATCGAGGCGTCCGCCTCCACCTCCCCATCCTCCTCCAACTTGTACCCCTCGGGGAGGGGAGGGGGGGGGAATGTTCCCCTCCACCCCCCCCTTCTTCCTTCCCACCACACTAGACCCTGCGTCAGCCGCACCCTTGTGGAATTTGTGCACAACATTCTATTTGTGCGTAACGTACACAAGGTCGCGCACCTTCTCCAACCCGAGCCGGTTCCTGCGCGCCGTGTGCACGCCATCCCAAGTACATGAGTTCACGCCATCCCAAATACACCAGTTCCGCTCGCACGGGGAAGCGGAAATGGGCTGGGACAGCGCTCGCTGCGCAAGACGCGCCAGGTCGCCGGTCCCTTCTTGCCGCGGGCCTTCTTCCAGTATTTGTCGACGAAGGCCTTCTGACGCTCCAGTCAGTCCTGCATGACCTTGGTACACTCCACTTCCGCCAGAAAGATCCCCTCCTCCTGGTTGGCCGGGTTTAAGATCCGGCCTGCCACGTGGAGGGGGCATGCCAGGCTCTCGTCCCAATGCCTCCTCAAATGCTCCCGCAACTTCTCCTTATCCACCCTGCTCAGCTTGCACTCCTTCCCATCCAAGCGTATCCAACTCCTCCGTCTGCTGCAGCATGATGTCGTAAATCTGGCCCATCAGCCCCTTCTTCACTGAATCCGTCCTCCGCATGACGTTGTAGAACACCTCCATCACATGCACAAAGAAGTCCACCTGCTTCCACCACGCAGAGTCCATCACCCACCCTTCGAAGTCCTCCCCTGTCAGGGTGTTCCCCCCCTTCTCCACCCAGTCCTTTTGCGTTATCATCGCCGTGAGCTGGGGGCGAATGGCGCGAAGGCGAGTCACTGCGATGAACTGCGTCCCAAAGCGCGTGCCAACCGGGCGCAACACCTGCAGCAATTTCTCCTCGCCGTGCAGCTCCGGGCTCCGCATGAAGGAGGGCGTCTACTATGCGAAAACAACTAGTGCATCGGGAGCTAGACTACGGGCTAGGCACGGATGCTCGTGTGATCTCTGCGTTCGTTCCTTAGTCGTTTACTTGTGCTTGCACTGCTTGCTGGTTCACAGGGAAATTTGGCAAGAGTTTCACTAGCAAAAGTTCACAACAATGATGATAGCAACAACATTGGCAACACAGACTACATCAGACCCAGCAAGGCTGCTGGTCGACTGCCAGCGCAGCACGGTCGACCGCGTAGCACGACTTGGTCGACCGCGCTCCAGCAGAGCAGAGTCGCGGCTTGCCAACGTTGCAAGTCCGCGGTGTGCCAACGCTGCAGCAAGTCGGCTGCACAGCGTTGCACCCGCCTGACAATGGTGCACCAGCCTCGCTGGTGCGTGCAGCTGGTTGGCGCCCAACGCCCCGTCACATGCCCAACGCAGACACTCCACTCGTGACGGCGCCCACCAGTCACGTCGAGGTCGTCCTCGCAGACACCCCCGGCGACGTTCGCACACGTCGCCCGGGTATCCTGGTCGACCGGGTATCCCGCGGTCCCGGTGGCCCCCGGTCGTCCATCCGCGGCCACCGCGGTCCCCGCGGTCCCGTGGTTGTCTCCCGCGGCCTCCCGCGGCCCCCGCGGTCCCGTGGTTGCCCCATGGCCTCCCGCGGCCCCGCGGTCTCCCGCGGCCTCCCGCGGCCCCGCGGCCTTTCGCGGCCCCGCGGCCTCCCGCGGTCTCCCGCGGCCCCGCGGTCCCCCGCGGCCTCCCGCTGCCTCCCGCGGCCCCGCGGTCTCCCGCAGCCTCCCGCGGCCTCCCGCGGCCCCGCGGTCTCCCGCGGCCGTCGAGGTCGGCTCCGCCCAAGCGAGGACGGGGCCAAACACTACTCCCGTTGACATACTGGAGCCCGCGTAGGAACCCGATCATATCGTCGGATTGACCCACAATCAACTGCGCCCAGTCCATCTTTCCGATGTCCTCCAACAGCATGTCCAGTACGCGCAGGAAACGAGTTCGAGATGCGGCCAATCCTTCAGCAGCAGCTTGCCGGCAACTTTGTAGTTGCTGCCGCCATCCCAGCACAGCGCAACCACGTGCTCTGCCCCGATACGCTCAATGATCAGCCTCAGGACCCCGGCGATGAACATGCCACTCTTCATCGCAGCCTTGCAGTCGACCGCCTCTAGGAAGACAGCTCAGTGTCGTTGATGCAAATGATGTTCATCTGCGCGCAACCGCTCTTGTCCTGCATCATGTCGCTGGCGATCGTCACGTCCGTCTCCCTCCACGACTTTGTAACGGGCGACAACGCCTTCTCAATCCGCTGCTTGCAGTCCAGCAGGCCGGCGCCTCCGACGTAGTGCCGCTTGGGGGGGACATAGCCCTGGCCGGCGGCGGAGACGACTCGCAACATGTTGAGGAAGAGCGGGTTCTCGCACTGAGACTCCGATGTGCGCGTCCCCGCGAGGTAGAGGGCAATCGATTCGTCGGCCGCACGCTTTGCCGCGACCCCTCCCTCGCCGTAGAAGTCCTCCATGCGCCCGCGCTTCGCCTTCCCTCCCGCCGTGCTCTTGCCGCTCACCGCATCGAGCGCCGCATCCGTCGCCTTCCCCTTTTGGTTGCGTGCCCAAACCTTCCGTTCAAACATCTCCCGAATCTCCTTCGAAACGTCCTTCAGCACATCCGCGCAAACAGCTCCTGCCTCGCGCCGCCCGCCGTGGGGATCGTTCCACTCGGCGAGGTGCTGAGGGCACCGGCTACTACTCTACGAAAACTTCTTGTGGCACCAAAGGCACTCCACTTGCTCGCCATTCTTCTTCGAATCCATAAAAATGTAGTAGTGCTTGTAGATTGGGTGTTCGGGAAATTTAGACTTCTTATTCTCTTCCATATCCTTGGAAACACGAGCGGAAGAACCCTCGCCGACGGCATCATCGTTCGCGGAGGCGGAACTTGACGAATGAGCGACGGCGACATGGTTTCGCGAAGGAACTAGCAAAACCCTAAAGTGTTTTTGAAAAAGAATTGGAAGAAATGAAAGATGGGAGCACGAATGGGAGATTTGTGCTCCCCAACCTCTTGGTGGAAAGCCTTAGAAGTTGGGTGTTCTAGATACTAAGCGGTGCAGTGAAGTTTGTGTTCAATTTTGGTTGGGTGGGGACTCAAATTTGATTGGGTGGTCGAAATGGGTGGGAGGGGGTTTTAATGTCGCGAAATTGAATTTCGCGTCGAAATCGTGAAATTCAATTTCGCGTGCGCGATTATTTTTTTCCGGCTGCCCGAAAAATTTTGCCCAAAGCGTCCAGCGTCTAAAGGTGCGTCTTGCGTCTAGCGTCTAGACGCTGCGTCTAGACGCGAGACGCAGGACGGTCCCTGCGTCTTCCGCAACTAAGCCCCCAAGTATGGGTTGAGTATTAGGATCGACTCCCATCGCTAACCCTGAAGGAAACGCTGCACACATGAACAAACGCCATTGTAAGCAACACACTCTTGATCACCCTAACCATTGCGGAGATAACTGCTGCAACGGGAGCTAGGCTACGGGCTAGGCACATGTGCTCGTGTGATCTCTGCGTTCGTTCACTTAGTCGTTTCCTTGTGTTCACGCTGCTTGCTAGTTCACGGGGAGAATTGGCAAGAGTTTCACTAGGAAAATATGACAATAATAGTTGCAACAACATTGGCATCACTGACTACATCAGAGCTAGCTAGGCTGCTGGTCGACCTCCAGCGTAGCATGGTTGACAGCGCTCCAGCGCAGCAGCGCTCGCACCGCTCCAGCGTTGCAGAGTAGCGGTTCGCCAACGTTGCAAGTCCACGGTGTGCCAACGCTGCAGCAAGTCGGCTGCACAGCGTTGCACATGTAGGACAACGGTGCACCTGCTTCGCAGGTGCGCGCAGCTGGTTGGCGCTCCACACCTTGTCACGAGCACAGCGCAGACGCCTGGCAGACTCCGCGCCAGCGACTGCGCCCACCAGCCATGTCGACCTCGGGATACCACCCCCGAGGTCGGCCTCGCAGACTCCACCCTGGCGACACTCGCACACGTCGCCCGGGTATTCCGGTCGACCGGGCAACCACGCCTGGCCGACCAGCGCAGTCCTTAGCCGGCCACGCATGCCCGGCGTCCCCAGTCCGGCGTCCAGGCGCCCAGGACGCCTTCCGAACCCCCAGGTCGGCGTCCAGACGCCCAGGACGCCGAGCAAACCTCCAGAGCGGCGTCCCTCCTCCCAGGACGCCGACCAGACGCCCAGGTCGGTGTCTGGGCCCCCCGGGACGCCCAGGTCGGCGTCCGGACCCCCAGGACGCTGTGCAGACGCCTAGGTCGGCGTCTGGCCTTCCAGAACGCCGTGCAGGCGCCCACGACGTCGACCAGGCGCCCGGGTAGTCGTGGCGACGCCCAGCTCGGCGTCTAGCTTCCCAGGACGCCGTCCAGGCGTCCGGGACGCCAACCAGGCGTCCAGGGCGGCGTCCTCCTGCTCGGCGCCCTCCAGCCAGGCGCCCTCCAGCTTGGCGCCCTTGCAGTGGCCCCCGTGCCCACTACTGCAGGTCGGCTGCAACCCCCGCACATCCGACCACAAGGTTGGCTCCGCCCAAGCGAGGACGGGGCCTTACAACACTCCCGTTGACAACCATATGCATGGAACGGATAATCCAACTAACATTGAGAGGGTGCGTTGACAATGCTTCGTCGGAGTCAGGCTTGATGGCCTCCTCCAGAATTGCACGCACAACGGACGATTGCTCATACGGTGTACGGGGATCTATTCGGTCTTGGTACATGGCTTGCTTCTTCTTCGGCACTTTGCACAAGGAGCACGTGTATTTGGTGCCGAGAGACTTTGTGCATATAACCTTGCAAGACTCGGGGTAGTCACTAACGTAGGCATATACATGCAGCAAAACGTTAATGTCCTCCCCCACGTGGTTTTTCCTCGTGATCCCGATATATGACGCTTTTCAACACACATCTTATCAAGAGCCTCGTACTCTCTTGGAAATAGAGGAAGCAACGCCAACATAACATGCCCATAAGGTTTCCACAGACCATCGTTGTTGATGTTGGCGAGGGTCAAGTACACCAGATGGCCCTTTTATTTCCCACGCACATCCATGTGTGTTTCATCATTCGCCAAGATGAGACCAGCAACCACTCCCTTTGGGTCAACCTTCCACTTCTTTCTCTAGGGTTTCCCACCATATTCCACTCTCCGGTGTGGAATACACTTGTCCCATCTGCTTGTACAAGGTCGTTGCTTCCATGGCCATCCCCTTCCCAAACCCTAGATGTTTCAAGAGGTCGTGTAGAGCGACAAGACCGTCTGCCAATATTCCAACCATGCCTTGATTGCCGACCGAATCAACTTCCCTTGCCACTTGCGATGCGCATCCAGAGTCCTCAAATCGGCATAGCGTTACACATCTCTAACCGATTTCCATCTGGCGATTTTCTCCCTGCCGCCCCCCGCTTGATATTGAAAGCGTATTTCGCTTTCGAATTAGCGTATTGTGAAATCGAAGCTGACTGTAACGAAATTTTGTGCATTGTCGAAGGGCGGTAATCGTCTTCTCCAAATATACAATGTGAGTTGGAGGTCATTCTTCCCCCACTCACGTCTCTAGATATAGGAGTTCTTAAATATATTATGTGTTATAATATACATATTATTGCTAGGATATTTTGTACTTGAGCCCATTGTAATGAGATCGATGCCAATTGCTAAGGAAGCAAGCTTTCTCAATTTGATATGTCAAGAAGATTGTTGTTCTCCTAAGCGGTTCGACAGAACCCAGTGTGCAAGCGCGTCGGTAATGTCAAACGGGGGGATGGGGGGTATATCCTCACCCCCACCTCCCTCGCCTCCCCCCACCCTCAAACCCGCTTCCGTATCGCTATTATCATGCAAGATTATAGCATCCTCACTGAACTTATCCAAACTCGAACCACCCGAATGAGAAGGACAAGGAGAAGATGGAAAGGGGATATTATGTTCAACATCAAGATGTTCAGTCTAAATCACATCATGATGCGTAGGAGGTGCACTGCTTGAAGCGGGTGGGGGGGGGGGGGGGGGGGGGGGGTGGAGGGGTGGATACAATAGATAATTTTCAAGCCGTGCACGTTTGGATGAGCAAGGGTCGGTTGACGCCCCTGCTGGGCTTGGTAGTGATGGTTTGCCTCATCATTTTTTCCCGTTTAGGTGCTCTGAGAGCGCTTGTCGAGAGTCAAAGACGACGTTTTTGCAACGAAGACACATGATACTCATCCTCGACTGCAATGCACGAGGAACGGTCAAGGGGAGTATGGCGAAGACATGAGAAGGGAGGGAAGGTCATTGTGAGTGGGGAGAGGGCAGGAGGAGTGAGGTCGGTGGGTTTGAGGAGAGGGCAGGAGGAGTGAGGGAGGGTCAGGGGGTTCGGGAAGAGGGCAGGAGGAGTGAGGGAAGGTCAAGGAGTTTGAGGAAAGGGCAGGAGGAGTGAGGGAAGGTGGGGTTTGAGGAGAGGGCAGGAGGAGTGAGGGAAGGTCAAGGGGTTCAAAGAAAGGGAAGGAGGAGGACGAGGAATGGTAACTCGACAGAGGCAAATGACCAGGCGAATCGTAACTAAAAGAAACTCTCGCTTGAAATGATACTAAACTCGATAAAATGGTTTCATTCGAAAATAATTACGCACCGTTTTACATTTCTTGAACGATTCTAGCCGTCACTTTGAAAACATCGCGTTTGTTTTATTACCACCGACTCTTTTTAGCTCGCAAAGTGATCAAAAAAAAAAAAAAAAAATCTCCTTCTAGCTCGCAAAGTGATCATTTTTTCCGGAAAGGCGACGGAATTATAAATTAATAAAATATTGTAACGGTGGGATAATTGTACAGGCAGGAAAAAAATATACCCCTCGAGAATGGCATGCTTTTTCTTAGAAACAAACCCTAAACGCCTCCTCGCAAGGTGTTTAGGGTTGATACTCTCAGGATTGCTTACCATCCGAAAGGGGTTTATTTGTTTTACCCCGGTTGTGCGATAGAATTGGGTACAAACAATGTCCCGGTTACAATCCCAAGTGGGACTTAGCGAAGGATCGCTCAGGGTTGATCGCAGAGTAGTATTGCAGCGAAAGTTTGAACCTCAGGTCAGAGTGAATGTCAATGACTGAGTTGATAATAGCATGCATACATCGGGTTTATATAAGAATACAAGGTAATACGGAAAGTCCTAGACTAGCCATGTACTCTAATGGGTACATTCCCTTATTGCAGCGAATTCAAACCGTGCGGCGCGGGAACCCGTTTCGAACCTGTTCCTGCTCTTTTCACTTCAAATGTTTTTCTGCCTGCATCGGTCTTGGTCAGACGGTTGCTGCGTCGCTTCAACTCTTCTGACTCCTCGACTTCGCACTCGGTAGAGTCAGCTCCTGCAGCATACAGGAATGCCTTCTCATACAACTTCATATCGTAACACTCCCCTTCATTCCTGGGCGCATGAGGGGCCGACTCGCTTGACTACTCCGGTGAGGTCAGAGCAGTGCTTGTACTGCCGACGTGGCAATCGCTTGGTGAGGAAGTTTGCTGCCATCTCGGTGGTTGGGCAGTACGCGAGGTCAAATTTCCCCTGGTCAATTTCGTCCTTGACGAAGAAGTACCGAAGCGCGATATGCTTCGTGCGGTTCACGAAACCTGGCTTGTTCGCGATCATGATGGCACTCTGGTTGTCGCAGTGAAGGCGAAAGGTGGGCGAAGTTGGGATTCTCGCCTCCTGTAGCAGCTCCTGCAGGTACAGGCCTTCGCAAACTGCTGATGTCGCGGCGATGTATTCTGCTTCAACCGATGACAGGGCAACCAGCTCCTGCTTCTGTGAGTTCCAGGAGACTGGCCCAGTTGGTTCTAGGTGAAAAACAGAGCCGGTTCGGGACCGTCGATTCGCAGGATCAGCGGCATGGTCTGCGTCCACGTAGCCGTTGAGGTTGAAGGAGGTCATCG